AGAATTGGAAAAGACCTCTCCGAGCCGTTCGCCACAAAACGGGGTTTCAGACAGGGCGACTCCCTTTCATGTGACTTCTTTAATCTGATGTTGGAGAAGATAATAAGAGCTGCAGAACTGAACCGCTCAGGAACAATTTACTACAAGACCGTTCAATTGCTGGCTTATGTCGATGATATCGACATCATCGGTTTCATAAACTGCGAAGTCTGTTCTGCCTTTTGCAAGTTGGATAGGGAAGCAAAGCGAATGGGTCTGGTGGTAAACGAGGACAAGACGAAGTATCTCCTGTCATCAAACAAACAGTCAGCGCATTCGCGCCTTGGCACCCACGTCACTGTTGACAGTTACAATTTCGAGAAAGTAGAGAATTTCGTTTACTTGGGAACCAGCATTAACACCGATAATAATAATTTAAACATATATACTTCCACAAAAAAATTTGCCGATAGGTGGCGCAGGAGCTGAGATGTTTGGAAAACCCGTATTCATGGTTCGATTTGGTTCATATTTAGAAAGCTTGTTTTAAAAATATTTTTGTACTGCTAACTTATTATAGATCGTGTTGTTCTTCCGTTCAAATACATCCTTAAATAACTACCACCAATAAAAATGTTCATTCTCTATCTATGTTATAAAAAAACTCACCACGACACTAAACCAAGCACCAATCATCAAGCCAAAACTTTGACCAACAAACACAGTCAACAAACTCATGGCGAAGAACATCCAGAAGCGCATCCATTCCATTGGCTGATAACTCCATAAATATATTATAACAGTAAAGAGCAGGCAGCCAATAATCTAAGACAAAAACAAAACAATGGTTTTAAATGATGTTCCTTTAATATCGAATATATTTTGAAGCGTTTTCTTACAGATATGGGGAGATCGATTAAGGTAATTGATGTGTAGTAAGCCTTTAGAGAATACCAACGGTTAAAGTGTTCCTTCAGCAATATCGACATCTCTATTGGGACTAAAAAGACATTTTAAAATAACCGATTACTTATGAATTCACATTTATTATTCGATTAAAATGAATGCACTTACAGGTTAGTACAGTCAACATCATTGTTGTCATGGAATGATGGATTAATATAGCAAATAGTAGATTATAATTGTCTAAGACTCTCGAACCTTCACGTCCAGAGCCGGCGTATAATGAACCCAGAATTATGGCTACAAAAACATTAACTGCTATCCGTAAATGTGTCAAAGTTGTATCGCGTTTTGCCTTAACATATCCTCGATGCAACAACACTGACAATTGGTTAATATAACTCGTATCCTCTAATGAACGCTGCTGAGATTTTTTAGGAATCGGATATTTACGAATCAGCGCTTCGGCACGCAGAATGGAACTTGCATCTTCAAACCACGCTAAGCAACTGCCATTCTCAGCAGCTGATTTAAGGATGTCCACTTTATCCTTTCCATATTCACCGCAAGCCAGTTCAATAACTAAAAATATTTTGTTGTTGGTTAATACAGAGTACTACGATTAAATAACATATATTTATGAACATATATATATCTGTGCCCGTCAATTAAAGTAGCCTAAAGCTCTGATTATGCATACTTCGCATAACTTCGCACAACCATTTGTACCAGTGCAATAAAATTGTAACTTAAGAAACTGTGAAGCAAAATCTAAACTAAACAGTTTGCTAAGTTTTTAAAAGTTCTGCCAATTTCTGGGTAATGGAATACATACAAATATCATACGAAATTACAGTTTGAAGGTTATGCGAAGTTGTGCGAAGTTATGCGAAGTATGCATAATCAGACCGTAAGACGGGGTAGGCCCTTTAAAGCAACATTTCATTGGGTTCCCAAGCACTATTACAATTACAACGCTTTTATCAACTTGCATTATTGTGTGTCCAGACACCATTTTTAGCTATAAAAACAGATTATAATCAAAGTTCCTATACAAAAGTCTAGGCATCAAAATCGNTTTTTTTGGGCTGTAACCGCCTAAGCGATTTTGGCCGAGTTCAGCAAAGCACGCCAGTCGTTCACTACATACGCTACAGCGGAAATGGACGACAAGCCATTTCTTTAAATGAAATTAGTTGGTGCTCGTATGTACATATGTATGTATGTACATATGTATGTATGTACATACTAAACGTGAGTTTTGCCCGAGAACTTAGACAGATAACTTATAAAATAGAGAAGGTGCAATTTTGAGGTGAAATAGCACAATCGGCAATAACGCGAAATTTGCTTTGTTTCACTTTTAAATGGGAACCAACCTCTGGTGGAAATAAAACAAATTTTGCCTTATTTCCCATTGCTTATTTTTACTATTTGTAACGAAAACAGTTCACCGACAGAAGGAAAGAGAACTTTGTTTTTTCCAAAAATACAATTAAACAAAAAATTTTATATAATTCATATCGTCACCTGTAATGACAAAAGCTGTAACAAACACGACCGCTGAAATGCAAAAAGTCATAACTAACAAAAAATTCAAAATTCACTTTTTGATTTATATGATAAATTTCATAGAATTACAACTTCCCACATCATTTTATAAAATACAAGTAATTTTTAGCAAAAAAAACCGACTTCAACTCTCATATAAAAAAATATATATATATATATCTCATGATCCACTGATCGGATCTTAACCAGANAAAAAAAAAAAAAAAAAAAAAAAAAAAATCTTCCGACGAACTGATAACCTCCTCCTTTTTTGGAAGTCGGTTAAAAAATAAAAAACATTAGTCACGACTTTTTCCATTTCAGTTGCGATGTTGTTACGTCTTTTTGCATTTCAGGTGACGATGTGAAGAAAGTAATATTCACAAAATATTTTTACTTATGAAAAGTCTAACAAAATATAGGGAAAGCATCGACTTTAATAACTGATCGGCAAATTGGACATAGCGCTTTGAATTTTGTCTGCATGATTTTTAATATGTTGAAAACATTGCTGGAAAACTTTAAAATGTTTGCATGGAACCATGGCGCAATAAACCGGTGAAGTAATAGAACAGCTTTCTCGCTTTATTTTCTGACATTCGACTGTCTCATAGTCAAATTTTAAAGGCAATTTTTCAAATAAGGCAATGTCAAAATCTTTCTTCTCGCTCTAATTACTTCACCTAGTATAATTCCGCCATGGCATGGAACAAACCAAAGTTGCCGTCCCTGTTCGCAGCATATAACACAGAACATATTATTTTGAGTTTTATCTTCAGTTAAAATTCCTGCATTATCATCACTTGCTTCACTATATCCGAACTGTGGATTTCGTTTACGAAGTCGAAGCGAACATGTGGTACGAAACAGGGATGATAGATGCGAAAAAGTACCAACATATATATTTTTAAATTAGGTAAATTTCTCTATAGGTACATTTGTTTAAAATCTCCAGAAAAACATGCCCAGCAACAAAATTCCTGTGAAATGGTGTGAAATCTGTTCTCTCACAAGGGAAAAATATCCAGTAGTATAGTATGCGAACAGAAAGTTTGCAGAAACCTTCAAGCTATCCGAACATCTGATGAAATTTTTGTTTTCATTCAAAAATGTAAAAAGAAAAAATTCTCCATCAACGGTGAGTTCAGGCCTCCGAATCACTGTAGCGTTTTCAAAGCAGAGGTAGCCGCAAAACTGCAGGCTTCGGATTGTTTGCTCCATATTGTATTACCTCTACAATGCAGGGAACACTTGAGAAATTGCTCAAGGTCTGGGTACTCCCCTGACCTCATGCGGCCTACTTCTAAACAGATGGGCCTTTAGCCAGCTCAGCGTGCGCTAGGGAAAGATCTTGGAATGCAGGGCGGCTAAGTCCTTCTGGTCACGTGTAGACCGAGGGCGGTCCAGGGAGCTCGTGAGCAAGTTACACTTCTCACTTCTGCTGGGAGTTCTAATTGGTCATTGCGTGATAGGTAAGCATGCAGAAAGGCTGAATATCATCGATGACCATGAATAACTATAGTTTAAAAACGCCATCAAAACCCAGAATACAGTTCTGAACACATGAATCTCATTTTCTGAAGTTGTACTCTAAGCCTCCAGTACAAATGAATATATCAGGGCAAGCAACAAAAGCATTCAAGTAGGTTTATAAAGTGCAAGTAACACAAAAACTTTACAAAAAAGAATTGCAATCAATGAAATCCAAGTTTCAGAGAAATATATTTGCAAAATTTTTGTCTTTTCTAGGGTTTATATTATTACAGCAACTGTTTATTGATTTTAGCAAGTCTTTCGTTTTTAATAAACACCACGTCCTGTATGAAGTGGAAAAAGATGAGTATATTTTCATCCATAAACATTCAAATTCAAGTATACATAGTGGTATTTCGACAGAATTTGGCACAGTGCCGTATTTTGACAAAATTGTTTCAAAAATGTCGATGTAGTACCAATGTACTTTTGAGATTCTAAATGTACCAAAAAAGTAAATTGTACCATCAATTTCATCACAGGTATGAAATAGTGATGTAAAAATATGTAAAATTTTACCTACTTTCAAACTTCTAAATTTGAACGTATACCCGGTACAAGCAGATGGGCTGAATGGCGTGATAAACAGGTGAAGTAATAAAAGAGCTTTCTCGGTTTACTTTCTGATATTCGGCTGCCTTCTAGTCACATTTTATATGCAAAATTTCAAATAAGGCAGTGTCAAAATCTTTCTTCTTAATCTTATATTACTTCACCTGGTATAATTCCACCATGGGTGGGTGCATGCAATAACACCATACGCAATAATTGCCATTACTTGGACATTAAAAAGCAGTTTCAGAAGTGAACTAGTGTCATTTCATTATTATTATTTTTTCTAAACGGTTATAATGCCACCAGTGCATAATTACGAAAGGAGGGAAGGGGCGGGGGACGCGAACGCTGGCCGCCGGGACACTGGGCTAGGCATGGGTAACACTGCGCTGCGCGGCGCAATTACGTTAACACCGTAGCCGGAATTATCGCGCCAACACTAATATATGAAAAGCACTAGCGCCATTAACACCAATACAAAAAATACACGTACTTTGTCTTTGCTTTTGAGAGGTGAGAACGCCAGAATGTATCTTGATGACGATGGCCGTGTTCAAATCAGTACACTGCGCTATAGCGCTGAGTTAGTGTGCTGACACCACAGGTGGCGCCGGCATTATTGAGCTAGCGCCATAAAAATTGCGCTATTACCCATGGCTACACTGGGCACTTTCAAAATTCTATACTTACAAATCCGTCCATTTAACTTGTTCATGTACTACATTGAAACCCGCTTAAGTAAACCCCCCCGCTTTAGTACCTAACCCGCTTGAATAACCAATATTTTGGTGCACCGTGAATTTTTTAATATAATATAAAGAAAATCCCTCTCTTAAGTACCTCCCTGCTTATTTGGCCAACCCGCCTAAGTACCTAAATTTTTCGTACCCCATTTACCATTTCACTTATAATTTTCCTCTTTTAAGTGCTCTTTTAAGATTCCTTAAAATATTTACATATTATGAAATTCAGTGGCAGCGCTACACAGCTTCGGCAAAAAAAAATTAACGGTAATTTTTAGCCAGCTGAAACTTGCACATTATTACATTAAAATTTAATGGGCAATAAAAATGAGGAAAAGTTTGAAATTTTGAAGAATTTTGTTAGTATTCTACAAATTCTTAAACTTAGGTTTATATGGTATTTATTAAGGAATGAACTGTGTTTTAATTGAAAAATCTGAAAAATTAGTAAATAAACATAGGCGGCAAACAAAATATTTCTAAATGTGGTCCAAAATGATATGTCCGACACTGTTTGTATATAAGTATAAATATGTATATATAAAAAAACTTTTTAAAGAATTTAATTCTTATAAAAATTACATACCATTGCTTTATCTATTTTTTTAATAATTTTTTTTTTTGTTTATCCATTTAAATAATGCTACGAACTTGGTTTTAAACCACGTATACTTGATTAAATATTCATGTTTTCATCAATGATTTATATATTTATGCAAGTTAACAAGAAGATGTAACTACATCAATAATTATGTTCGCACATACGCAAACGTCAAGCTGTGAAGTTCTACTTATTTGTGCCTTGATTGGTCTTTGTATTTTGCAAAGTTTATTGTGCTAATTTTGAGTAAAAGTTGCTATAAAAAGTGCCTACGAGCATCTTAGTGTGATAATAACCGAAGCTAAGTGAAAGTTTTGTGATTTTTGTGGTTTTTATTAAATTTAATTAAATTTCACTAGCTTACATCTAATCTTGCCGAGTCATTTGTTGTTATCATTGTTGTTGTTATTCCTTTGTAGTTAACTGAGATCGTTTCTATTTTTGCACATTTCTTTTTGCTCTTTTTGTTTACTTCGTTTAGTATTTCTTGTCACAGCTGTTTGCGCTGCGTTTATTAAGTGTCACAATACAGTGATACTCAAACTGTTCGCTACATATATTTTTAAGCTAAATACATCAGCTCCTAAATTGTTGTGTGT